ATCGCGCCTTCCCACTCAACGCAATCCCCGTATGAATCACGCACCACGCACGTGACTCTCGCACGGCTGGGCTATCAGGAACAAGGTTGAAACAAAACAATTGTTCTACGTGCACCTGCGGCCTCATTATGAAGCGGTGCACTCCCATTCAACTCGTGTGCGGCATTACGCACGCGCCACGCTGATGGCCTGCGGGCGCGTGGATCACCCGAAAATCGGTTGAGCAAAAGCCCGCCGTTTCACGAGCATCTTTGGCCTCAACATGGAGCGATGCATTTCTACGCGTTACGTGTCCCGTACGAAACAAGCACCACGCAGATGACTTAGGGGCGGGCGGGTCGCCCGAAAACTGGCTGAGACAAGCAAGCGGATGCAGCTACAGTCTGCCCCCCCCCATGAGGGGATGCACTTCCAATCAATACGTTCCGTGTTGAAGCAGGCAGGCGCCACACAAGTGACCCACGGGCGGGTGGGTCACCCAAAAACTGGCTGAAACAAAGTTAGCTGTTTCACCAGAGTTCTGAACCTCAACATGCCGCGAGGCATTCCCACCCAATACTCCCCCCGTATGAAGCAGGCAACACGCATGTGACCCAATGGCGGGTTGGGTCACCCGAGATATGGTTGAGAAAAGCCACCGTGGTTAAGCTGACGCGCTGGGCTTCAGCATGAGGTGGCGCGTTTCCACTCAAGGCGCTTTCCGCATGAAACATTCACCACGCAAGTGACCCACGGGCGGGTGGGTTGTACGAGAACCTTGAGTGACAACGAATTGTTTCACTTTCGTTGTGGGTCTCATAAAAAATGATGCGTTCCAGCCCAATGCACTCCCTGGCCCGCAAGCGACCCACGGGCGGGCGGGCCAGCCCAACATTTGTGGAGAAAACCAATGCATCTCACTTGCGTTATGGGCCTCGGCGTGATGTGATGCATTCGAACCTGATGCGTTCCCGTACGGAGCAGGCACCGCGCAAATTTTCACGGGCTGGTGGGTCGCCCGAGAATTTGCTGAGACAAGCCAGGCTGTTGCATCTGCGTTTTGGAATTCAACATGAAGCAATGCGTTCCCATTCAATGTGCTTCGCATGTGAAGCAGGCACCATGCAAGTGACCCATGGGCGGGTGGGTCACCCGACAACTTATCGGGGACGAACAGGTTGTTTCACCTGCGTGCAAGGCCTCACCATGCGGTGGTACATTCTAACCCCAGTATCTTCCCGTGCGAAGCGGGCACCACGCAAGTGACCCACAGACAAGCTACGTTTCCCGTGCGACGCAGGCACCGCGCACATGACCACCCGAAACCTGGTTGAGAAAAATGCAAAATCGTGTCCCTTGCGTGCTTGACCTTAGCACGGGGCGATGCCTTCCAACTGGCCCGGATCATTCCAAATGCCACTTTGCAAGCAAAAACGGTGCAAACACAAGGGTGTCACGTGTTATCCCTGGTTCTACCCCTACTACGTACCATCCTCCTGCTCCTCAGCTGCTTGTCGTTCCTTCATGTTCCTCATCTTTTTCCTCCTCATCATCCTCCTTCCCCTCCTCTCCCTTTTCCTACTCTTCCTCCTCCTCATATTTGTCCCCCTCCTCCTGCTTCTCATCGTCCTCCTTGTCCTCCCCCTGCTCCTCCTCCTCCTCCTCCTCGTCCTCGTCCTCGTCCTCGTCCTCGTCCTCGGCCTGGTCCTCCTCCTCCTCCTCCTCCTCCTCCTCCTCTTCATCTTCCTCCTCCTTTTGTCAAGGACACTCGGACATTCGTCATCTCTGCTCTTCGTGAGCACCAAATGCGGGGCCCTAGTGGCGAAGCCTTTGGAAAAGTGAAGGCGCCCCGGTACTGACCCTCGTCACCATCACTATCATTAGGTCGGGCATGTCTCCCTAGGGGGGTTTTAGACGAAACAATGAAAATTGAAAATACTCAAAACAGATTCAGACATAATTGAAGATGCAAAAAAAAGTACCCTAACTGTTTTTGGCCGACTTGACACATCCTCCCCCGTTTTCCTGGAATGTCTCCTCCCTCCTCCTCTTTTCTTCTGTGCGCGTTCGCCCGAAAACGCCGACGAAACGCTATATTCCGAGTGTCGGCCACTCTCGCAGGACATACGGCTGGACAGGCAGGGCGAGTTTACCATGTTTGCTTGAAGCGTGTGCGTATGCCGCTATGTGCCCAATGCGCAACGAAACCTCGCAGAGAGAGACGCGCCAACGTGATCGAGCGAGGCTTCGCCGTGTGACCGAGAGCGCAGGCAGGGAGGAGTTTTGCGGCCCCCTTTCGCCCGTCCTCACTCTTCTCAACCAGAGAACCACTATAATGGCACAGTGGCCCTGCCGGTCGCCCTCACTTGGAAGACGGACAAGGTGCAGGAAGAGGAAGGAGGGAACAGGGAGGACTCGTTCGCCTCTGTTCTCCTCATTTCACCTCCTGCGCCTCCTCCTCCGTGCTCCTTTTCTGTCTTTCCACCTCCCTCCTCCTTGTGGCCCTCCTCCCTGGATGCGACGACGAATGACGACGACGACCGACAACGACGACGACGACGACAGAGGCGACATGCGGCGACAAAGACGAGGGGGGAGGAGGGGGCGTGCTGCGATGGTCCGCTGTACCCGATCACGGCGACGACAATGACGCGCGGACGCGGCACTTGAGCATTCCAAAGACACCGCATTGGTCGCGCAACCGATTCCCAACGCGTCGCTGGCCCATAGGCGCCGTACATTCCGCAAACTCGTTGGCCGTGCAGGCGCGGCTGGGTTCGTATATGTTTTACCTCGACCAGGGCAGGTGATTCCCAAAAATTGTTTGCCTGGCGGGGGGGTAGCGTCTGACAATTCATCCACATGGCCGCCGAATTCCCCTGGCGACTTCCTCCTTTGTGTGTGTGTGTGTCGAAAACAGCATCAATGAATCTCCCCGCGCGCGGGGCGCGTCGCCCAGCTGGTGGGGGTGTCTGATGACTTGAAGGCGGATTTCCCCGGAAAAATGGCCGAGGGGGGGTTGGGGGAAGCAAAGCCGAAGGCCCCCCCTTTTACCAGAAGAGCTCCGGAGTCCGACTGAAGCCGTGAAATCATCCAAAAACCTCGACCCTCGATCTTCAACCCTCGATCTTCGACCGTCGGTCCTCGAAACTCGACCCTCGATCCTCGAGTGAAGGATGGATCGCCTCCATGCCGATCTCGCTCAGGGGGTCGTCCGAGGACACGGCCACGCAAGAGGAGCTCAGGGCGTACAGCACCAGCAGCTGCCCAAAGAACATCCACCGCAGCAGCGCGTGCCTCAGGAGGCCCTTCGCCGTCGACCGCATCGCCTTGTCCACGTAGTAGTAGGCGAAGAGGTAGGCGAGGTGTGCCAAGTCACCCACCTAGAATGGGGAGGCAACTCCTCGGAAATTGTTCGTAAAACGAGTACGGGCTACTAAGCTCGATTTTAAGGAACCGACAAGCCAGATGTGCCTGGAATCGGCCAAACATGCAACTGGACGAATCCGATTCAACAAGACCGTGCTGGGTAAGGCTGGCATTCGACCGTGAATATCCCAGCGCCGATGTTGAACTTAACCTCTTGGGCGTTGTATCCCAACCTTTCAGTTCGGCCTGTCCCCCCTACATGCCAATGTTGGGCGAAACGTTAAAAAAAATCAAAAAGATACCCCAACGTACTCACGCACTTCTTTAACAGTTCTAATTATATACAAGAAACCCCAGACATTTTTCTATTTTGAATATTCCCCCTGTAGAGGGACAGGCCCCACTTAACCCGACCTCGATCGACCCTGACTGAACCATGAAGGAGCAGCGCCGCGATCGAACAGACGCAAGCCGCCCAGCTCCCCGGCCTCCTCGCAGGCGTCTCCCCTCCGCGACCTCTCCGTGGGCGCGGCATGCCCAGCACATCGAGGGGAACCCCCTCCGCGGCGATGGGGAGCGCCCCCGCGGCAGCACAAGACGAGAGAAACGCTCCAGGAGCCTCGATTCTCCAGGCTCGAGGGAATGGTGAACGTCTCTTATTCGGCGTTTCGGCAATGGGCGGAAGTCGGGTGTTTCTAGAAGTACCCCTGGCCCAAGGTGTACCCCCAGGATTCTCAGGGTAGCCCCGACGGCGTCCACGGCCCAGAGGTCCCCAGAGGCTCCAAAACGGAGCGAATAGCTGGGGGCACCTTGGGCCGTTGCACTTTCCAGCAGCACCCGAGGAAGGGGAGGGGGGGAGGGGGAAGGGTCTGGCTCCTGACCACCTCTGCTTAATGCCACCGTTTGCGCCAGTGCGTCCTGCATGGGAGACTCCACCTTCTTGAAACAGGCGCCCAAAACAGCCAAGATCTACTCCATGGGGGTGGGAGAGGGTGCGAGGGCCCACGCCGATCGGCAAAACGATGAAGAAGAAACGAGATGACGACCGAATTTCGCCCTGTGTCTGGGCTCTATTCGAAAGAAACGCTCCAAGAACCTCGATTCTCCCCAGGCTCGAGGGTGAGGGGCAACGATAGGAGGGGACTGGCATGAGGGGGAATGCGTCGACCTGGAACTGGCGATGCCTCGCCTATAGATCGGCGATGAGCCTCCGATAGTGAATCCGCACCTTCGTGGGCAGGTTGGGGCTATCGGGCCCCTATCGGCGATCAATGGGCGATGCGGGGCCGATGCATCCCCCCCTATGCCTATCCCCCCGATCGGTGTGTCCAAGAGGGGGGTGTCCAAGAGGGAGGGGCGCAAATCATAGTCGGCGGCATGTGCGCGGCCTAGGGGCGGGCTGGGGAAGTAATGCAACAAGATAAGGCGCCATGAAATCTGGTGAGATATCATGGCCCCCGCCATGGTGTCCACCTCCGTCCTGGTCATCGCCCCCCTCTTTGCCGACCCCGAAGAACCCTGGTTTCTCCAGGCTCGAGGGGACAACGATCGAGCAGAACGCCCTCTGCCTGATCCTGGGCTCCAGCATTAAGTCGCGCGTGTCCCCCTACAGGCAAATACACAAAACTATTTTGGACTTTGTTTGAATCCTCCTCCCCTAGAGGGACAGGCCCGACTTAAGACGACGATCGAGCGGAACGCCCTCTGTCGGACCCTGGGCTCCAGCAGGAGAGCGGAGCCCCAGCAGAGCCGCGTGCGCGCGTGCTGCGCGCGGGCGCGCGCAAGGTCGCACCGGGGGCGCCCGAGGCTCTACACAGGGAACCGGAGGCTCCGGAGGGTGCCTGCCTGCACAACTTAGGACGCAACTGCTGGGAGGTCTTCGCCGGAAAGACTTCTCCGAGTCTCTCAATAAGCGTCGGGGGGACGTCACCCCCACCGACAACCCCACGTCGACCTCCGTCGCGAGCAGCCACCGCGCGCCGAAGGCGCTCCGACCCCCCTCGCGGCGCGACGACGAGGCGAGAGTTGTCCCCCGTCGGGAGTGTATCACCCCACGCTTATGAAGAAACCCAGAGTAAGGAAGATTCAACCCCGTTGCGGGGGTGCTATGCCCGCTTAGGTCGTGGACTAAGCTGGATAAGGCCGGACTGCGCGGGACCAAGCCGAACTGAGCGGGATTAGGGCGGACTGAGCCGGATTCCGGACCAGGGCAAAGTCAGAATTTGATCTCCCAGGAGTTGCATCCGAGCACAAGTACACCCATCCTGACCTGGCGAATCATGGGCTCAGGATCGGAGCACATGCACCGATCCTGGGCGCCGCATGGGCGTGGCCAGGACAGGTCGTCAGCGTAGGTGTACAGTTGGTGCCCTCCGATGGCGGCCGGCTCAGGTGCACTTCGCGGTCCGCCCGAGCCCCGCCATCAGCTGCTGCGCCGCGGACGACGGGGCGACGCCCTGGAGGCGCATCTGCGAGAACACCTCGGCCAGCAGCGCCGCGTCAGGAGACGCCGCCTCCAGCACGGAGGCGTAGAGCGAGGAGATGAGGCCAGGGTCGCAGCTGCCCCCCACCTCCGCAAGCAGGCCGAGGACCTCTGGGACGTACTCCCTGCACCCGCCCTTGGCGAAGCTCTTGGCCAAGATGGCCGGGGGACGTCGGCTGACCACCTCACCGATCCGCGCCGAGGAGTAATGGAAAGCGACACCAACACAACCAGGGCAAGGAGATGCGAGGAGCAAGGGGGTCTCCCTGGTGGCGTGGTCCCCCCCCCTCGCTCGAGACATCCCCAGCCTCCAGCTCGGGGAGGTACATCGTGGACCTCCTCGCTGGAGGTGGCCCCCCTGGTGGCGCTGTTGTCGCTTCTCCTCCCTCCCCCTCGCCAGGCTCTCCCTGGGGCCCAGGACCGCTGGGCACTCCCTCCTGACTTGGCCGTGGAGGCCTGTGAGCCGACCCCAGGGGCGCGGGATCGGCCCACCCAAGTTCGGCCAAATGTCATGTTGCCTCCTCAGGGGACCCTTATCTGTCTCGTCACGGCCCCATCCGCGTCGAGTCCGTGTCGAATCATGTTGGAATTGTCGGATCCATGTCGAATTTGTGTCGAATCCGCGTCGACTCCGCGCCAAATCCGCAACGAGCCCGCATCGAGCACAAGAACAGACACCAATGTTTGGGACAAGCGAGGTCCCCCAGAGATGCAACGGAACAAGTGGTCAGGGGGAGGCCAAAGGGTACCGGCGCTGCTAGACCCCGGACATCTCCGGGGGTGCCTCCTGGCCAGAATTCCAAAGAGAATCCAAAGGTGGCGACGAGGGCTCTCCGGGACGCGCAGCGGCGTCGGTATCTTTTCCTCCCTTGAGCTCAGCCGGCGCCCCCCGAGGATGGAGCAGGTGAACTTGTCTGGGGCCAGGCCCGCGCGGCGCATGCTGCCCAGCAGCTCCCACGCCTCCGCCACCCTGCCGCCCCTGACGGCGGCGTCCATCGCGGTGTTGAAGGTGATCGAGTTTGGGGCCACGCCCCTGGAGCCCATCTGCGCGAGCGCCTCGAGGGCGCCCGCCGCATCCCCGCGCTGCGTGTAGCCCTTGATCACCGTGTTGTAGGACACGACGTCGAGCATGCCTGGCGCCTCGCGGTGCGCCTCCTCGACGAGGGCGGCCGCCTCCTCGACCCGGCCGGCCGACACGCCCGTCGCGAGCACAAAATTCAGGACCAGGCTGTCCCGCTTCACCCCGCGCGCCCGCATCTCCCGGAAGAGCGCGAGAGAAGCGGCCCAATCCTTCCGCCGAGGCCACATAACGGCTTCTGTCGTCCTTCGACTCAGATTTAACCAGATGCAATCAGATGCGATCAAAGACTGCGTCGCGGTGGGCCTCCCGCGAGCTCTCTCAGATGCAATCATATTCCCCATTCGATCTGGATCTGCGTCGCCTGCCTTTGTCCCCGCAACTGCAAGTTCATTGAAGAAAAGCCGCTCAAACCCTCAAGCAGAGGAGGAAAGACCAGCATGTAGGCAAGTGGGTGGGTGCGTACGAGGTAACGCGGCAGAGACGCAAAGGTATAGATATGTAGGTGGTCGAAATAAAACAAACTCTTCAAACAACAACTCTCGGGGGTCCGCGTCGACTTCCCGGATCGGCGCTGGATCTCACCTCCCTT